TTTTACATTGAAGTGTCCTCAAGCCTCAGTGCCAAAATTAAACAGTAAATGGGCTAAGGTTGATATCACAAAAGTCATTCATATCCAATATTGTTCAGAAAATTGCAACATTGAAAAAATTCAGAGGTAGTCGATCTTAATAATGTGCACTCTGTCACTAGACTTATCTTTGCTATTTATCTATGTTATATAAATTGAATGTGTAACTGATATATGAAATTTCCATCCAGCGTATTGTAAACATATTGAGGCCTTCCAGCTTGGCCAAATGAGTTTTAACACTAAGTAAGTTAGTTTGTATTAAGTGAACATTTTAATTATTAAGAACCCACGGTCACTCCCAACGAACCCATTCGTTTTTGGTTCTTGATTGTTAAAATTTCACTTAATAAATGCTAACATAATTATACAAAAATCATGAATAAAAATGAGTGGCAGACCATTCTCCCCCTAACCAGTTCACCACACCGACGATTCACTCATAAACCGTTTCTGCCCCCTTTCCCTTAATATAAAATGTGATCAGCTGTTCCTGCAAAAAGATACTTATCATTTATTTATTTTAATTTTTTGTATAAGGTATTTTATAGTATTTTTTCAACATGATAAGAAGACTTGGAAGCGAAGTGAACTTTTTTCTCTTAGATTACTACATTTACAAGTTGCACATAAATGCTTGAACCAAAAATGTTTTAAGAATTTATGTACAATCATGTAGAATCTAATTGGGACTGTTCAAAGTATAAAGCTTGCAGAATATTTGATACATAAATTTATCATATGAAAAAACACAGGAAGTTTCACATATATTTAACATATGAACACTTGTTTATATGAAAAGCATGTGATAATCATGAGTTTAACATATGTTTGTTGACACATGTTTTTATATGGTCCTGTTTACCATATGTTATTTTACATATGAAACACATATGTTTTATTTATGGAAAACATATGGTGTACCAAACATACAAGAAATATGTGGTTCATTTTTACCTGTGTATAAACATTACGATTATAAGTACTTATCTCATCTGCAATACATTCCTGACCAGGCCCCCGACGGACTTCGAAAATCAATACGTGGAACAGATGTATGTTGGTAGGCTGAAAAACGGTTAATTATGTGAAATTAGTTACATTTCGACAATTTGTGTTGAATGTTTTGGTTTTATCTAGAGTATTATTTAATAATGCTTTTAACACCGTGCTTTTAATAACATTTGCATCAGGAATTCATATATCAAAAGGCAATGAGCATTATTTTTTTCCTTAAATAATATTATTTGTTCAAATTGTTAATTAAGTGCTATTTATTCTATTGCACAGTCTTTGTATATTAATCTAAGAGATAAAAATTTGATCGCCGAAACAAAGAAAAGCCTATCGTGTTCTTAAAACGATTTAAATGATTTTTATTTAGAAGGATATCACCTTGGCCATAGCTGTCGCAGAAGCGGTGGATCCATCGCAGCGGCGGTGGAGTATTCGTCGCGAATGGTCTTTTGCTGTGATCGGTAAGTTAATGAGTGCAAGTTTCTTTTTATGTTTTAATATTCTACGGGACACACCAAGTGAGACTGGAGCCCACATATATACACCAACAACTTATTACACGCACACGATGCAATTTATTGATATTTATGCAAACACGTCTGTACAATTTAATTATGGGATGCCACTTTTGCCTAATTTTGGTTCAAACACACACAAAAGTATGCAAAACTACTCCCAATACACTGGCAATACATAGTATGGATGACACTTACACTAAACAACCATATTTTGGGACATTTTTAATTTTTATTGCCCGTCTAGAAAAGAATTGACACACATGATTTCTTCGGATTCGATTGCAACACAGTGCTGTGGGGCCGATACCATTAATGTTTATAAAAAGGGTTTAACTTGACATAACGCACTCTTCAGTTGAATACAACCCCCTTTTTTACTTTGACATCAGTGTTAATTTTGTGATTAAAACAATAAAGTAATATATACAAATAGATATCTGAGTTCAGCTTCCATTTTCTTTCAATTGAAAACTCATTTGGCCGCTTTTATCATAGAATAGACCTCGTTCAGTCTGAGACTTAAAAAAGACCGTAAGTTCAAGGTTTAATAATTGTCTTGTCATACAAACATGTTAAATAGACACTGTAAAGATTAACAAACCATGCTAGCTTCTTGATGTCACTGTCCTGAAAACACCAATTTGTATAAATATTATCTCTACAACAGAGTGTTATTTTAGGAAAAGTTTTCTTTTTATTACTTTTTGGAATACCTGCGTGATATAGCTTTTTTCATCATTTTCTTAAATTGTGACATTTATTGAAGACAAAATGGTTGAACAAATGGCATTATTTTTAAGAATTTAAATTACCTCTAATGAAATTAGCAAAAAGGTATCACAAATATTTCTTGGAATTTAATGTTGTTTTTTTTTTTTTTTTTTTTTTTGTTGTTGTTGTTTTTAAAGAAATGTGCAAAAATATACTGAAAAACATAACAAGTAAGACAGATTTTAAGACGTATGGATAAGTTATCTGCCCCTGTAAAAGTATAAGTATTTACACCACAGACACAGATATATGCTGTATAAAAGGCAATATTTATAAATGTCTACTTTATACTTTATATTATGCTTGACATTGAAAGATACGCAGACAGAAAACGACCACATACAAATGCACTTAAATATAAATTGGTCTATGCAATTCCCTGCACATCGGTAAATTTCCTTTCGGTGGTGCATCAGGGTCAGATGTCATGACTCCTTGTTTCCACTGGGCCTTGATTCTTGTTCTGTCCGGGTTGTTATTTAAAGGTATGATCTCTAAAGGAAATCTAAATATAAAGAGAAAGGGCACTATATATGTTTTTACTTTACTGCTCATTTTAACTCGAATGGTGCATTACTTCTCCACATGAAACAACTCGAAATCGATATCTGATCGCATACAATACTTTAGTAATAAAACAAAATAGTTGTTGAACGTGGACTATTCTATGAAAATACTGAGAAATGAGTTTTCAATTGAAGGAAAATGGAAGCGGAAGTCACATATATTTGTATAAATAATTATATTGTTTTCAACACCAAATAAACACGTTTCTCTGATGTCAAAGTAGGAAAAATGTTGTACTCGAAAGAAAGGTACGTTATATGTCAAATAAAACCCTTTAATTGATATAATGTTATCAGACCCACGCACTGCGTTGCCATCGAATCCAACACAGTCTACGTTGTAATCATTTTCTTTTGTCATTTATTGTGAAAAAGGCAATATCAATTTAAAAACATTTCAAAATATGGTTGTTTTGTGTTAGTATTATTCATACAAAGTAATGCCTGTGTAATTAGGAGTCAATTTGCACACATCTGTGTGTGTTTTAACCAAAATAAGGCAAAAGTGGCATCCCCTCGTTAAACTGTACAGACGTGTTTGCATAAATATTAATAAATTGCATCGTGTGCGTGTGATAAATCGGAAAAGTACATATTTGGGCTCCAGTCTGACAAGGTGTGTTCCGTAAAACATGAAAGCATAAAACAAAATTCAGTTATAAACTTACCGACAACAGCAAACAGCCATTTTTTATCCACCACTTCTGCGACGATACTCCACCGCCGATGCGATGGATCCTACCGAAAGCAAAAGCTATGGCCAGTGTGAATATGTGTTCCAGTTTAAAAGTTTTGGGATTATACAAAATTTTGTCAAGACATCAGTGATGCCTTGTAATTGAGCAATTTTCTTTAAGACTATATCACAAAGATAGTCTTAAACATCTTAATGTACATGTACTTAGGATCTTAAGCCTAGTTTCTTCTCTTTAAACTTATAAGGTACTAGATTTTAAAGTTTCTTGCCTATAGATGAGCCAAAGTATTTTAAGATAATCACACTTGAGAAAAATACCGAGATTTTAAGAGAGGTTTAGCGACTCAAGATTCAAATAATATTTTTCATGTAATTAAATGACCGATTTTAAAGTAATGATCGTCATATATTCTTCTGCGTGACTTACGCAGTATGTGCTATGTTTGAATATTTTGACCTATTATGGTATTTTACATGAGTTTTAAGTGCTGGTTTCAGTATGTAAATAAGTTTAGTTTCTTTGTTCAATTTACAATGTCTTACTTCTACTGAAAACATTTCAAAGTTGTCATGCAAATGAGCATGGATTGTGAGGCATGTTGCTTTTATAATGCAACAACATTTTGTAATATGTGCAGATAAAAATAGTCGATATAACATACACGTAAATATGATTTTCAGCCTATTTATTTCAAACAAAAATTATACTGTTTTCATGATTTTCTTTTTTCAAGAAAAAAGTACTAATGAAATTTTGAAAATGAATTTCGATAAGGAATTTTGAAAAAAAAAGAAACAAAAAAAAAAACAAAAAAAAAAAACATTACTAACGGCCTTTTTAACTAAGGATGAAAAGACACGGCTTCATCGAGTCTATTTATATGAGTCATAAAGACGTGCAACATCTTTCAAACATCCTTTACATTTGTCAGCAAGAAAAGGGTTTTGGAGTTTTTAGTTTTCAATAATTAATCACGGAATAAACATTTAAGAAAAATAGGATAATGTTAAGAAAAGTCTTTCACTGCTACTCCGTTTTAGGTTGTGAATATATAATTTTGGAAAAAGTGGAGATTAAATCAAAAGGGGAAACCACACTGTTTATTTAAAAAAAATAGCCGATGAATTAATCGAAAGTTGCCTTTCTATAAGGGAATTATATTTTCAATGTTTAAAAATGTCAATTTGAGTTAAAGCTATCAATGCTTTTACTAAAGTAGTTGCGTCAAATAAAATATATCCAATTTTTAATTTTGACAGGCTGGTTTCTAGAAAACTGTCATTTGCTGATATTTTTCAAAGATAATTGCTCACGAAATAAACTACAATTTTATTTGGTTCGGCGTTTTACTAAATTAAATAAACAAAGATTGTTTAGACTATTAATAAAAGATGAATATCACCTATGCACGTAATAACGGTACTGATATAAAAGAGATCCTCAAAGAAACAAAATTCCATGTGTTGAAGGTTTTATTTGCAGAACAGTTCTGTGTCATAAGGAGCTGTATACGCAGCGTTTTGTCCGGTTTTATCAACGTGTTTATATTTTAGATACAATTGCAATTTCGATTCAGTTAAAAATCGGTGTTTTAGCCGATTTATAATGTTTAGATCGATATTATTTCGAATTTAAATAGACAAAACGAAGGCTATTATTTACGAAGCCCCTAAGGTGACATTTTCCACACTTTTTTCCCGGAACTTAATTCGTTTTATACGAAATAATAATTCGTAATTACGAAATATCACTCTCTCAAACTAAATTGCATTGTGTTTAAATCTCGTTATAAATAAAATTCTGGGCGTTAAGAAGTTTTCATTTACATATAAGTATATATGTATATATAGCATGGACTTTAAAGCTATTATCCCAAGCATTGTATTTTGTGCGTCCAAAGATAAAATCTGTCTCTCTGTCTGTCTGTCTGTCTGTCTCTCTCTCTCTCTCTCTCTCTCTCTCTCTCTCTCTCTTGGTGTTTTTGATTATAATCTTTGTTTTCGTTCTCGACTGCTCATATCTTATCTGCATTTACAATTAAATATTCTCCGTCTGGCAATAACTTGTCTGTATTTTATGGAGTATATCACTCTCATGGAAACTGAAATTTTACTTATATTCATATATAATAACTTTAACCAGATTGGCCGATGTTTTAAACCCGTTTTGTGCTGGAGAGTTAAAGTCCGTTGTATGGCTGATATCATTTTCTTTTTTTATCTTTTTTTCTGATAATATAATTATTATTATTTGAGTTATTGACGTATACGTTATTTTATTTTGTTTTACATTTTTGAAAATATAAAAATCAGCTCCACTAGAAATCTAAGCAATCACCATATAATTAACTGACCTTTCATTCGTGCATTATTAGTTCAGGTAACAGGAAGTATACTCAAAGTTGGATCAAGTACAGTTTCTGGACAATTACACGTTGTAAGTGGTGTAAATAAAACTCTGACTTGTGAAACAAGTGTAAGCAGACCAGCAGCTACAATAGTATGGTATATAGGAACTCAAGAGAGACAAAGATCACATTCTATAGTCTTTATATTCAACCCACAAAACAGCGATCATAATAAACAAGTTTACTGTAAAGCGTTTAACACACAACCTGAGAGCCAAGCTGTCATTTCATACAAATCAACACTCTTTGTACAAGGTGATATAATTTCCTTGAAGTGTTTTATGGCTATGATAATGTAACAGTATACGTGACACTATGATAGTGCAGAATCCGTACAGAAAGTCTCATTTAACAAGACATCTCATGAATACAAAAACTAATCGTAGAATTGCCCCCGTGTGCTATACTTTTGATCAGTAAAAGGTGTTTGCCTTAAGCAGCTGGGCATCTAACCTTAAAACAGCGTGCTAGTAAGACGATTACATTTTATTATATAAAATGTCTCCTCCGAATTAAACTTATTAATACGTTCACTTTCAAAAGAGTTTTGAAACGTTTCAATTTTATATTCATGCTAACAATGTCATGTTATGCACGCTTTAAATGATTCATTATATAATAAAAATGATTGATATATTAATATAGATATGCAGAAATGTGGACGAAATCTTGGAAGAAATAATGTTGAAAAATGCTCTGTTAAGAAAAAACAATGCTACCCTAGCATCATTTAATGAGGCTATAATAAACGAAACTTTTGAGACGGTTATATTTGTTAAAGTTGAATTTGGCCAAATATTGAAAAAAACACATTACATTTATATCGACGTCTGAAAAATGTCTAAATTAAATATAGTAGTTTATTCACTATTCCTCCTATCATATTGATGCATGTATAAACATGTTGATATTATGTGAAGTTAATGAGCAATGTACACATATTTTATTGTCAATAATATACACTGTTATAATTCATGATTTTGAACCTTTATTTTAGAACGGGCAACAGTAAAATCGTTCTACATTGGTCAAAATGAAAGTCAAACAGTAGCTACCTTTGAAGAACACGATGTGAACATTCCACTTACTTGTGTTGTTAGTGGCATGCCTGCCTCCGAAATTTATGTTAGTTTCAAGGGGGGTATTATTGCAAGAGGGTCTAACACAAATAAGCTACAATACAATTTTGGAAAGATTGCTTGCGATAAAAGTGGCGTATATATCTGCAAAGGTTTTGATATTTTTGGGACGTTTGCAAGCAGAATGGTTGAATTGTTAGTGGAATGTAAGTTAGTTAAAATATTATTGTATATTATTTGCAGATTGTTAGTTCCTAAATTTATATTTGTTTGAATAATAAAACGACATAAAGGCATATGATCCTACATTTGATCCTACATTTTCTTTTTTATTATAACCAGAATAAATTTTATTTCAGACTTAACATAATAATTATGTTTAAACCAACGCAGTGTTATTGTATGAGAAATTGACATTAAATTTAACTTTTTGAAATATAAATAGTGAAGATTTAAAAGAGCGAAATAAAGTCATCAAAATGTCACGATATATGTTTTGATGAAGGTACAAGCACAAACTACTTTATTAGTAACTCTTAGATTAATAATATTTTTGATTATATATTGGTAGGTTCCCCAAGACCAATACGACAAGTCCTTCACAACATAACCAGTCAAATTGGTTCATCAACATCACTTACCTTCAAAGTGATAGCATATCCTGAACCGGGACCTAAAGGCTTTAAATGGTTCATTGAAGACAGGCTGAATTGGATTGCTTTATTAAGTAACGAAGATTTTCAAATTTCATCATCTGGTTTGGAGACTAATTTAACAATCTCAAACGCATCTCGGGAGCATTATGGAAAATATCGTGTGTCTGCTGTAAACAAAATCGGCTCATATGACCAGATATTTTTTCTTTCAGAAAAAGGTATTACCAGTCGCTTTTTTTTTATTTTCTAAGCATTCATACATTTGTTATATTTAATTTCAATACTTTTTCATATATAAATAAAACTCATTAACGAGAGATTTAATGTAATTATAAAATACAATCATCTTTTTATAGTTTGAGGTAACTGTACATTGTTGAGTACAATACTAAAGTCTTTTGGACGAGCATACAGCTGCCAACCTATATTGGACGAGGCGCTAGCAGCGTGTGGTATAGGTTTTGCAGCTGTGAATGATAAGAAAAGCAATTAGTACAATAAGATTTTAATATAGACTTCGAACTTTAAAGCAGAAAATGGCGTCGGATGGAGTATGATATACATTTGATTTAGTTTGTTTGGACTCTGGATGGGGTTCTGTAAACATCTCAGATGGTTTTGTCGGACTTTAGAAAAAAAACTTGATCAGTTGATAAGATAGGATCAAATAATGATTTCTTTAAGAATATCGCAGCAGGAAACGCTGAAGGTTATTAGTCATATTTTATAATTGTTTCGTTCTTCATAGGAATGGAAACAAATCAATGCATACCTGTAACGTGTTGTTCACAATGGGGTAGACATGTGGATATATATTTTAATGAACAGTAGAAATTTTGTCAAACGAATACATACACTCTTTGAGACAGAAATAAACATACTGTAAACGTTGACAGGAAGGAAGAAATATTGGCCCATATATAACCTTCTTATAAGCATAATATTTCTTTGAAACCGAAATTTGCTGAAATGTAATATATTTACACTGTAATAGTGCCGGTTTATTAAAAATGGTTTAAGATGGGTCGAGCCCAACACTCAGTGTTGCTCTGGATAGTCATATATAAATGGCCAACTTATTATACGGACAACACGTGATTATATAGATATCTTTAAACGGCACTTTATCTAGGTTTTCTGAACTCTAATTGCCAACCAGTGGCTAGGATGGTGGTGTTTGTACGCTACCTTCTATTTACTCTTATTAAGAAAGTATAACACAAGACTTTATGAATTTAACACCATGAGATTTATTTCAACGATAATCATAGAATTAATTTATAAATAGATTAAATGAAATTATATTTTAAACCAGAATCTAGTACTTATGATTATTTATTTGAAAGAGCTTCTAAGTATTTATTAACAAGCTTAACCTAATTCAATAAATTATATAGATTTAAATACAGACAACACTATAAAGTTTTGAAAAGGTGTCAAAGCTCTAAAGCTTTTAATTGAACTAACCTCTCGGCCAGTTTCCCAAGACAAATAAGATAAAAATTCACCCGGTATTTATTCGAAAGTCATGACAATGATAACTATAAGATTGATTGGTCAAAATAACTCATAGCAAGTTCTTAACTAATTGAATAATTTTAAACAAGCCGACCAATGAAAATACAGAATTAAACCGAAAGCACCAATCGAATTTACTCTTACAAATAAGGTAAGGGAAATAAGTTAAAAGGGCAACAAAAACTGAACAACATTTACCAAAATGCAGCCCTATAACAACACAACCATCAATATCAAGCAATATTTGTTTGAACATCTTAAAGTATATTTGATAAAAATGTAGAAAGTGATAATAACGGGAAGTTCATATATGATTACCTAAAAAGCTGAGAATTATTTACACAAAATAATATGCATGCAGTTTTTAAAGTAATGATAAAACGCATTTTCATAATATAATAAGGGAGTCAATGTAGTACCAAAACTGAACTTCGTGTATATAAAATGAACTAGCAAGAAAATTAGCCTTATTATGACAGCAATTGCCTAGTAAGTGAAATAATTTTTTCATGCAATTAACTTCAAATTGCATTAAGTTTCATTTTATCGTCGCATCAGTATTATTGGTGACTTGCAAATGCCGGTAAAAGTAGCCAAATACATTTATTTTGATGTTATATTTTTTTTTATTCCGAGAGAATGGTTCAGCGCAACATTATTGTTGCGTGTGCTATGGTGGCTGATTTGTGCCATTTCGTGTTTTAGATTCGAAACCCCGCAAGGCAAAAAGTCGTGAATTAACAAGATAAAATGGCGGGGGTACGGAATGAATACACGCTTTTAGCGGGAGCGCAGGGCGAAGTTTAATACATTAAACGTCGCACAACGGGAATGCAGAGCGAGATTGAATAAACACGCTAATTAGCGGGGGCGCGGGGGCGAAGTCTAATTATTAAAGATCACCCCGCGGTGGCGGGTAACGAGATTTAGGAAATTAAACGGCGGTGACGCGGAGCGAAAATACATCCTTTTATCAAAATTCTTTTATCCCGTCGACTATCAGTTCTTGGAACACCCTGCCTCAGAATTCTAAATCATTAGATTCTTTAAAACAATTCGAGCGACTTATTTCTTACCCACACAAACCCCCTTATTACTTTAACACAGGCCCACGCAAACTTCAAATCCTTTTCAAGTCTGTTTACATTTTGAAGTTTTCATGAACACATCATTTTACCTTAAAATACTTTTTCACAATGTTCATGAAAATTCGCATAAATCTGGAGACTGCTATCTTTTTTTCTGGTTGGGTTGATCCGGTATTGCTATTTGAATGCTGTATGATCATCATGATGATTTGTTGCCTGCTTTGTTAATTTGTCTTCTGACGTCTGATTTCTGATATGCAGGCTTCGTAACCATTTACACCCTCCTGATGAGTCAAAATATGTAAATAAAATCAAGTTTGAGAAATATGTTCTGAGGTTTTAGGAAAACTATAATGATTCATGATTCAAGTAATAATTTACATGTTATGCGCGGTTAATGACAGATTTTTCGGTATTTACAAGTATATTTCTACTGCGTTACTAACGCAGTAAGGGCTATTTATGCATATTTTGACCATTTTTTGGTAATTTACGTGGGTTGTAAGTGTCATTGATAAAGTGTAAATTGCTTTCTTTTGGTTATTTTACAATATTATACATTCAAAAACATTTTCAAAATTTTCATGAAAATTAGCATGAATCTGGAGGCGTGCTGCTTTAAAATACTATTTTATCTAGACCGCCCGTCGTTTTCTCCTTTAGAGTATAAGCAATATATTACTTTGGGACCATACGCCGCATTTCATGCATGGCATAACGTTCCACATAAAAAGATCCACTATAACTGCGTATGAACACATCTGTGTATATTTTTTTAATTTCAAATGTCAACATTTTCGTGTATAAATCTTGTGTTTTGCTAACACCAGTGACTGGTGGCTCGGACGGTAGCTAGCAATTACCACTATCGTCCATGAACAGTCTCAATCAAACAGAGTCTTTAAAATCTTCATTTTTGCCGCTTTGGATATTCTTTGGGAATTCCGTTGTTTTGTTGTTGTTTTTTGTTGTTGTTCTTTTACCTATTTTAATAGAAATAAAAGTGATTAGCACTTTAATATATATTAGTGTCCAACTTTATTTGTCATCCAATGGAAAAGCTACGGTGGCATAAAGGTGACATGTGTGTGTGTTTTTTTTTATCTCGTGGCCACGAGATACTATGTCATGGCCACGAGTTACTAAGTCGTGGCCATGAGATAGCTAAGTCGTGGCCACGAGAAACTATGTCGTGGCCACGAGATACTTTGTCGTGGTAACGAGTTACTAAGTCGTGGCCACGAGATACTATGTCGTGGCCACGAGTTACTAAGGCGTGGCCACGAGTTACTAAGTCGTGGCCACGAGATAGCTAACTCGTGGCCACGAGTTACTAAGTTGTGGCCACGAGATACTATGTCGTGGCCACGAGTTACTATCTCGTGGCCACGAGTTACTAAGTCGTGGCCACAAGATAGCTAACTCGTGGCCACGAGATACTATGTCGTTGCCACAAGTTACTAAGTCGTGGCCACGAGATAAATAACCAATCAGATTACACCATTTATGTTAATTTCCATAATTAACTAGACATGTGTTGTAGCACAAGTATACCCCTACTTCACCAGCCTGTAAAAGTGCCATTTATACAACTTATTGACTTGTCGCTAATTTTGAATTTAGCGTCACTAGGACCCTGATATTTGACCAAATGACCCCGAAAGTATGAGATGTAATCCCCTGATCAGGTGCAATGATCGTTTTGGGTTATATAAACCATGGCTTATCCCTTCTAAATTATTCATCAGACAAGGATTTTACCTTATTGGCTATCTACTCATCCATGGGCAATGTCCCTTACAAATAAAATAATTAAGGACTTATTCCTTCTCAAGTTATCATATAAACAAGGTTTACAGGCCGTAGTACGTACAGACTGACCAATGCGATCACAAAATTGTCCCAACAAAGAGCTATAGTCAAAATTAATGTCTGATTGGCCTTGGAAGGTGACTTTCTAAAATGATCCTAAGACAAGTTCAAAGTAAATAGCTTCAGTATTTTCAGAGATTAATATTGCATGTAAAAGTAAGTTATTAAGTTTAAAAAAATCATAATATATATAGTGTATTCTGACTGGTTAATTATCTCGTTGCCACGACTTAGCTATCTCGTTCCCACGACTTAGTAACTCGTGGCCACGACCTAGTAACTCGTTGCCACGACATAGTATCTCGTGGCCACGACTTAGCTATCTCGTTGCCACGACTTACTTACTCGTGGCCACGACTTAGCTATCTCGTTGCCACGACTTACTAACTCGTGGCCACGACAGAGTATCTTGTGGCCACGAGTTAGGTATCTCGTGGCCACGACTTAGTAAATCGTGGCCACGACATGGTACCTCGTGGCCACGAGTTAGATATCTCGTGGCCACGACATAGTAACTCATGGCCACGACATAGTATCTCGTGGCCACGAGTTAGCTTTCTCGTGGCCACGACTTAGTAACTCGTGGCCACGACATAGTATCTCGTGGCCACGAGATAAATAAAAACACATACATGTCACCTTTGTGCAACCGTAAAAAGCTGTATTTCTTCAAAATAATGAGTTTTGATTTTCATAGAAGAACTATATCAATTTTTTTTCATAGTTGACCTCTATTTTTCATAGTGCTTTATAGAACCGCGTTTGTAAAAATATTCATTTGCATAAATTTGCACATACGCAGCCGCTTTTGTAGGTCGCTTGTGAATATCAATTAAGTAAAAATGACATCAAATATCAACCGACATTACTTTTGCATTTATTGATAAAGGATATATATGCAGTTCAGATTTAAATCCACGTCTTGGCGAAAAAGATACTGCAAATGTTAAAGTAAAAACCAATTCAAAATGTCAATTAATATTTTATTACGAATGTAGAAAAAGGTCTTAATTAATTTGTGACTTAGAGGAAAGTCACGAGTGTCTATTCACTTTTTTGGTAGACAGAAAGTGAAAGTAGACATTATGTTTTTTGAAAATATATAACGTGACCTCGTGTTAACACGTGCTATTTAGTGTATACATGTATGAATCATTCAAAATATTAGCTACTGAGTATCAGTTGTCCAACTAATCAAAGTGTATAAATGATATCAGGTAACAATTATCCAACTCATCAAAAAAGTTTTCCGAAAATATATGTTTCAATATCGGGCAAATGGAAACTCGCATCATCCATTTGCCGCCCATGCGTCTTCGCGCGCAATGTGACGTAAATCGATCATTTTTATAAGTTCAAATTTAAACCATTCAGGTATTCAATTAATGAAGCGCACGTAATAGAATGAATATTAATGAGGCCAAATAATGTTTGACACTAAATATGTTAATATTCATTCGTAGCTGTTCTACAGAAATTTCAAAGATTCTCCGGTCGCTATCGCTCCCGTCGAAGTTTCTAATTTCTGTAGAACAGCATGGATGAACACTAACATAAACTAATGTGTCAATAACAAGAGATACTTTAATTATCATAATGTCCTATTCCTGCATCTGTACCAGGTATTTTGTATCAGATTCCAGATCTAACTCGTGCACAAGTACAATAAAGACAAGTTATACAATGTCAATAGTTCTCGGAGCTGTATGCGTAGTTGTGGTAGTCTACGCAATAGGCTTGACCATTCTGTACAAGAGAAAAATTCAAAAGAAAGGTAAATATGTTTTACTTGAAGTTAACCTACATCATTTAACTTATTCTTATAAAGAAAATCCAGTCTCTTACAGTTACGGTATGACCCGTAATCAGGGCTGGGAATCAAAACTGCGTCGTATCCTACAAAATGTAAACAAACGCCGCCATCTTGGAACGAAAAACGTATGTTTTTGTTTATAACTTTTTTTGTTGGAAATGACTGAAAACCAGATATATGTATTAACACGCTACACTATTTTCCGCTTCGTTCAGTATATGTTGCTTGCACAACTATTTTGTAAAACAAAAGTGATAGCGAACTTGCAACTCGAAGCGGAGCAGATTTTTTATAAAAATGTGTGGATGCGACGCAGTTCATATTGCTTTATCGATCGTTTCTTCCTTCAAATCAATTATATATTTGTTTCAGAGTTCACCATAAACTTCGAAGTATAATTTTGCATCATTTACTAAAATTTCATTAAAAAAAGATGTTAATTTTCTAAGAAAATGATGATTTTTACGAAATGAGACGACGCAGTTGAAAATAAAATATGACACGACGCAGTTGTATTTTTGGCAATCTTTTCAAAAGTGATAATGTTGGCAATATATTTCTATTTTATGGAATTAATCACTTGCGCTAGATAAAAAAACCCAGATCATTTGCGGTGTATAGCAATGTTCTATATATTGTGTCATGTCCAATATAACATTTAATTTGAAAGTTTCCATTGCCATTGCAGAAGCTACTTTTCAGTTAAACATGAACATGTTACCTAATTGATCATAACATCTGAAATAATTTCTTATATTTTCCTGTCTGTTCAATATTATCCCTAATTTTTACCCAAAAAAAATTGTAGAAATCTATTAACTTGAATCATTTTTGGCTAGCTACGCTCTAAGTAACTGTTCTGCATGTTCTGGTAAATGACTGCTTTCTTGTGGTTGTTTTTCAAACTTTCACTCTACACATTAGCTTTACTAGGGGCGAGGACCTCAGGTGCACCTTTGTGCATTATTTCAGGCAAAATGTTGCACCTGCAGAGAACCATTGACATTTTGAAACTAGCTTGATAGGTTTTCCACACGAAAGAATTAAAAGACTCTGGTGGTTTTCGAATTCTTAGCAGTTCAGTTCAAGTGATTTGAATTCAGTAAACATAAACAGCTCGGCATCGGTCGCACACACCTGTCTGATTTGTTTTTTCAACAAAATTTGTTAACGTCAGCTGTACATCTAAGCAGCTTTTTATTAACTTCTGGCGTGAAGTTTTAAGATTATAAATATTTGAATTAATTAAGAGAATAACATTTAAATTTCTTATTTCGGTAGGACTAGAAGAGAAATGTTCAATGTAAACAGGGGGTAATCCTCTGTGAAGTCATTTTCTGAAAACTTTTGTTAAAGTTTTCTCAAATAAAAATCACACTTTAGTATGAAGGTATGTCATGTCTCTAGTCTGTTGAAAATTCGATGCGATAATCTGACCTAAATTTTCAGTTCAATGTTGTGAAAACTTCTTCAATACTGTTGAAAGATCATGTCTGTCTATATCTGTATCAAATTTATCGGTGCACAGCGTAAAATACCTTTGCAAAGCGGACACCTTCATTACAATATAATTTGTAGTTGGTTGTATCATATGTAACTCGATTTTAAAAATTTTAAGTTTTTTAATGGAGAAGAATGATACTTAAGTTCAAATATAGAAAATACATTTATACAATAAAATCGGCACGGAAAAGACATAAGTAATAACGAAATTGGCGGAAATTATTGCTAATTACAAGTAACAAAGGTAGGCATGCAATTTGCGCGTAGCTCTCTTCCGATAGCAAGAGACCTTTTCAAAAATTGTAATTCTTTCTCTTTCTTTTTTTTTAAATAAAAAGGTCATTCCTGATTAATACAGGGTGCACGAGAGGTTACACTGGAATATTGAATTTTGTATCAAAAATAGTAATCACTCCCATTTCAAACTCACGGGAACAATTTTATTTTAGAAGCATGCTAAGGCAACACTGGAACAATGTTTCATATGGTGTGCGATCACGTGTTTAAAATGTACAATTTGCATTTGATACAGCTTTTCGGAATTTGTAGATGCTTATGATACATGTAGGTTACTAAAATGCGACCGAAAAAATGCAGCCCTTAATAAATTGGTAATTAAATTTCCATTTTATTATGGAACCATTGAGTGGCCCCTGCTTTTGACTTAATTGTAAACAAGAAATGTTGTTGGACGTTATTGAGCGATACTAGCACATAATTTAAATAGTTTAAACCAATATGCAGACTGCAATGAAAATACAAACTTGCGGTCGTATCATATTTTATTTTCAGCTGCGTCGTATGATTTCGTAAAAAAATACATTATTATCTTGGACAAAATTAAACAATCTCTTTTTAATGAAAAGTTTAGTAAATGAATGCAAAATTATATGTTTTTGAAGTTTATGGTGAACTCTGAAAACGAGTATACATTGATGAACGGAAAAAAAGATAGACAAAGCAAATTATGAACTGCGTCGTATCTACACAATTTCAATAAAAATTCTGCTCCGCTTCGAGTTGGCAATTCGCTATAATTTTGTTTTACCAAAATAGTTGTTGCAAGCAAAATATACCGACGAAGCGGAAAATAGTGGTAGCGTGTTAATACATATATCTAGTTTTCAGTCATTTCCAACAAAAAGAGTTATAAAACAAAAAACTGCATGCATTTTTCGTTCCAAGATGGCGGCGTTTGTTTACATTTTGTAGGATACGACGCAGTTTTGATTCCCAGCCCTGGTAATTGGAACAATCAGGAACTGTAAAAATAACCACATACGTAAGTTATAAGGACACCTGTATCTCAAAGGTTAACATAACTTACCGTATGGTTTACGAATTATGGGCATTTTTGCAACTAACGCATAGCTATCAAAATGGCGCTTTTTCAGAAATGACTCTTATAGTATATTATATCGTCATTATGATTTTTTTCCTGTAAGTTATTGTTTAGAAACAAATATAATATATAATTATGCTAGAAAATCACAAATGAAAATTGAAATTTTATTATTTAGGAAATGGATATCAATTCTGAGTGCATTGTTGTAGAATAATGCACGATTTGAGTTCAAATGCGTAGGAATATAATCACGCAGACCGATAGGCCTGTGATTAATGACAAAGCATTTGAACGAAAAGTCGTGCATTATTTTACTATTGTGCACGTAGAATTAATATCAATTTCATTCTAACACGTCAAGTAATAATAAAGTTGGCCTATATATTTGGTTGAATAAATTTGTTTTCGCCTCAGAGTTTCCTTTAAAAGCTGCTTCAGCCGGTTGAAAATAATTGTCGTTAAGTCTACCGTTGGCAGAAACCTTTTGAGATTAATGAATTTTGAAAACGTTGATAAAATTTTGTGTGTTTATTTTTTTTAATTTATAGTTTTCGAGCGAAATACAAAGTAATTATGGTCAAACAAATATGAAATTTAACTGGTTTACGACACTGAAATAGTGTTTTGTTTTGCACGCGCTGTTTTGCGCTTCATTGTGACGTCACGTAAACAACACTTTTAACCTCTGTATAGCATTAATGGCTTGATTAAAGATTTTGATGTTCAGATTTATTTTCTTAGTTAGACATTTTCTATCATACTAGATAGTTTTCAAAACAAAATTCAACAAAAGTTTTTTGTTATTTATCTTTTTCAAACAAAGTGGTCAGCGTGCCCGTTAAAAAAAAACAGAGGGAGCGAATTGCTTTAAAATCTTGAAAATCCTTTCTCTTTTAGGTACATCATCACACCTGGATGGAAACAATACGTAAGTCTTGCAGTTTTGTAATTTCCCCTTTTTTTTTATGCCAAATTTTTTGTTGTTTTTTTAGTCAATTTTTGGGTTATTTTTTTTCCCTTAAAAATATCGTTTAAATTTTTATCGATAAATAGATAAAAAAAGTTTATTTTAGGTGTATTATAAAATAAAAGAAGCATTTGGGTTTATAAAAAAAATTTTGGAAAAAAAGGGCCCGTCCATTTCTAAAAAAGCAATATTAAAGATTTTTTAATATACGACATAAGTAGTAGTTTAATTTTTAGGTTCAAAAAAAAACCCCAATAAGGAAATTTTTTAATATACTTTTTGTTATGGGAAAACAAATATTTAAATTTTTCCGAATTTACGTGGTACGACAAAATGAAGAGACGACATCAGTTATTGAAAAAGAATCAAATAAGCAATATACAGAACTGACAAGTTATTCAAACGATAATACAGCGTATGAACTCTTACAAAATTAGAAAGTATTTGTGAGATTGCAGCACGTGCATTATAGTGTTTGGTTTATTAATTGTTGTATGGTTTATTAATTGTTGTAGACAGATGTTAGTTTGCGTGTAATAGGGATGATTATTTTTAAGTCTTATTTACAAATGTACTAATAAAAACATTGATTTAGCAATGGATTTTGTAGTCATAACCTGATAATTTATGTTAATGAAATCAATCATATAATGATTATTATTATGGATTTGTAGTAAAATTGTGTTTTATTTAAACACAAACTATGCACAGGTTTTAATTTTAAAAGAAAGTTATAAATAAGAATGAATAAAAAATAAATAAAATAAATTGAGAAATAAATAAAGAAAAAAAATAAATAAAGGAATGTATATGGAATAGACCCTGATATTATCAACTTCTGTGACAGTTACAGTCTGTAGAGTTCAAATCTCTGTTGTTTTTTTTTATGGTATTATTTTATGTTTGTATTTTTGCGTATTGTAAGTTGCTTATTTCAATTCTTTTTCATTCGCCATGGAAACTAAGCTCATTATTTTATTGATATGAATAATCTTAAAGTTGTTTGCAGGTTTTTGTTTATAGTTGTTGATAATTCGTAAAGCCATTTTACTTTATATCATTTTGTAAAGCTTGCGTAGGATTTGTTTTTGTGAAGCTATTACTGTGTTGGATATTGTTATGGGTGATATACACAGATAAATGAAA